TAAATAAATAAATCTTTAAAAAAAAAAAAAAGATCACTGTCAGGAGAAAAAAATTCCCCATAGTCGTTTTGCGATCTATCAGAATTTCATCCTGAGAAGATTTGAGTTCTCAAGTGGTATTTGCAAGGCATCCCATCAAAGGAAATGCAGTTGTTGCAGAAAGCAGTATGGGTAATTCATGTGGCCGCCCTGGACCTCACAAGGCAGGACTGAATCAAAGCTCCGAGCACCAAATCCACAATTCTTGAGCACAAGGAAAAGCCGGTGGATGTCAGAAAGCCTGTCTCACTCCGTAGTCATCCAACGGAGACTGGATGTCTGCTTAAAGTAACCACATGCTTCACTTCCCGAAGGGCCCCCAGGTGCCCTGCCTTAGAGGAACTCGGTGTGTCACTGAGGTGACCTCTGATTAGGAACAGTCAACCATGCAGACCCTGAGAACTGCAGGGAAAATGAGAGGTTGTCATCTAAATGCTTATAATGTAAGGATTACCACAAACACCATCTGAACACCTACTCAGGGAGTCCTTCCTGTGACCTCCAGCAGCCCAGAGAGGACCCACCTGGAAAGTCTCTAGGTGACTAACACCCCAATCCTCAGGTTTAATCCGTGCTAAACTAATCACATTTTTTCCTTAAAAAAAATGTGTGTGTGTGTGTGTGTGTGTGTGTGAACATATGTCTGTTTCATTCAATGTCCTTCCCCCAGATTCTATTTTATCATAAAATGGCCAAGTCATTCTAAGGGTACTATTTTAAAACCTTTTTCTATTACTGGGCAATAATTCTGACTATTCAATAGAATCAGATACTATATATTACTAAATACTGATGTACAGGAAATCATGGAAAATGCTATCTGGTACACTCTTTAAACTGGCTTATTTAATTTTATTTTGCTTATCTTATTTATATTCGTCTACATGAATCAATGGAATTGTTGTCTGTTACCCTTCAACACAAAAGCAGGAAGAGTAAAAAGAGAGTCTCTCCCTTGCCGTCGCATAGATTAGTACATGAAAACCGGATAGAATAAAACAAGGGTATGGTAAAAGCCAGTTAACTTAAAGGTTCATATCTGATCAAACCTTTAACCTCGCTGTTTCCTTTCCTTCACTGAGTATTTATTTTAACTCTGAATTTTAGTCTTTGGCCTTCAGTGCCAGAAATATTCTTACATGTTCAGATAAGACACTTTCATCCAGTTCCAAAAATGTTGAGGGTGAGGGTCAGATCGGAATTCCTGCTTATCCTGAGGCAAACATCTCCAACTGGACAAGCACTTGGAATGAATGTCTTGACTGACATCCCTGCCGCTGAGAGGGGGTTGTTTGCTGTCTTGTTTTTTATCTTCACCATCCCCCTTTTCTGAATTTACATAGCAACGGAGATAATAAATTGTTTCTCGATTCTTCCCATTCCTTCCAAAACTAAGCTGAGGACAGAAGGCCCCCGGTGGATTTTTTCGGCTTGACCCTACCTGTGTTTGGCTTTTGCCCACCGGACCATGTCAGCATTCCAGGACCATGAGAGAATGCCATGTTTGCAACCCAACAGGAAGAGGAGTAAGCCAGGCGTTGACATCACCTGACAGATGTGTTTCTCAAGTGGGAAATTTTATTCAAGCCTTTTTCATGGAAATCATTGACACAGAAAAGGAATAAAGAAAAGAGAGGGAGAAAGAAAGTCGGTGCCATGATGGGCATGTTTTGCACCCCATAAGAAAGGAATTAGAATGATGCAAGCTCACCTCCCTCTCTCTACACCGCCCCCCCATCCTTTATGTCTGGAAGTAAATGTTTCTGAAATACTATAGCTACCAGCAGAGCAGCAACACATAATAACATGGTCGCAACACATAAAACTGTCAGTCTTCGGGGAAAATAGATGGTTAGGTTGAGGGGGTAAATGGACTAAATCAATTTAAACACGCATGTTAAGGACTGTGACAGGGCAGAGTTTAGTGCGGCTAGGCTGGAAAACATTTGTCTCTGTCTTCTTGTATTTCCACAGCACTGGGCAGAATCCACCCACAGGCTTCTCACTTGGCTCCAGTCTGACTCTGTGGCTGATTAATGGCAGCTGGAGGTGTCCAGTAATTTCCTCACCTAATAATAAGCTACAAACCAAAATGGAGGTTCCCCTCGGGCCCACAGTTAACATACCTATACTTATGACCAGGAGGTAGCCAATTACCCTGCCTCTGTGCCCACTACTTAGGAAATACATGCTCGAGCAAGGCTGAGGCCATGCTGTTTACCTGGACCCAGCTTCTGCCGATAACCAGACAGACTGTTCTTGTTACATGATAAATACATAGTCCGTTCATTTAGAGAAGGATACGGTTAGGAAAATCTTCTAGCAGTTCCACAAGATACATTTTTAAATAATTCACTTTTTTTTTCCCCAAAAAAATGTGGCAGAAAAAAAATTCAGATGATGCACTTGGTCTTAAGCCTTTTGGGAACTTAAATTTTAAATCGCCATTACCAAAATGCCAGGTTGTAATTGCAAAGCCTGAAGCCTAAGCAATCAGTCTAATTCCTTGCTTCCTGAGGCAACCAATAAAGCTGTTTGTGTTCGGGCAGCTCTTCTCCTCAGAGGCAATGAGAATCAGTCTGTGCCCCGTACTATAAAGTGATTATGTGGATTAACTTTGTGATATTAATTAAGTGGTTAGCCTCAACATTTGTACTTATAGTAACACAATTAATTTAAGCTAAGAAATAATACATATTATATACCAAGATGAAAACATAGAAGTGTGTGTGCACGCGCACGTCTGTGTGTGTGTGTATCTGTGTGTGTATCTACACAAGCACATTAGTTCCAAGTGGGGGGGAGCAGAAGTATGGGGTAATGGAGACACTACACAGACCTGGATTCAGATTTCACTTCTGCTGCTTAATTGCATAAACTTATGAAATTATTTTAACTCTTCTGAGCTTCTGTTTCCTCACCTAGAAAATGAGAATAATAATATTTATCAGGAATAAAGTATGTGAAGTGTCTAATTCAACATAAAGCACATAGTAGCAATCTATAATTAGTTTCACATGTTAGAGGTGAAATCTAAAATTTTTTTACTAGTGGTAAATACACATAACATAAAATTCACCACCTTAACCATTTTTAAGTGTATAGTTAGGTGGCATTAAGCACATTCACATCATCATGCTTTCCTCTCCACCATGGATCCCAGAACTCTTTTCATCTTGCAAAACTGAAACTCTGTATCCATTAAACAGTAACTCATTCCCGGGTCTGCTGCTCCTGGGAGCCAACATTCTACTTTCTATTGCAAGGTATTTGACTACTTTAAGTACCTCATGTAAGTGGACTCATATAGTATTTTCCCTTTTGTAATTGGCTTATTTCAGTCAACATAATGTCCTCAAGGTTCATCCTTGTTAGCACGTGTCAGGCTTTTCTTCCTTTTCAAGGCTGAGCGATATCCCATTGAATGGATATACCAGATTTGGGTTATCTATCCATCTGTCAGGAAACTGACAGAGAAGACAGGTAGATTATATATGGATGGATGAGAAGACTGGAGGAGAAAATTATAAAGGAATCATGAAAAGATCAGACAAGCAGAAATAGTAGCAGAATGAACTAAAGATACCAGATCAAAAATTTAAAGTTCTAGAATATATGTGTTAGACCTTCATCCCGAGGTCCTAAGACTGGCATAGCCAGGCAAAGGAAGGGCAGATAAGGGACATCTTCAAACTGGTGACAGAATGTGTCACAGAGTCTCATATTTCGTTCTGGGTTCAAACTTAGAACAAGAATTTCCCTAATGAATCAATGGCATGTGATAGCAAGCACCAGCTAATCTTATTATTTTATATTACTTAACATGTGTCATCATCCATAGTGGCAGTGGTAGGATTTTTTCCAAACTAAACTCAGTTAACTAGATGTAATCCTTTGTAGACGTCATGGAAGAGGAGAACGTATGTATGACATTTTTAATATAAAACTCCTGGGTGGCTGGGTGGCTCAGTGGGTTAAGTGTCTGCCTTCGGCTCAGATCATGATCCCAGGGTCCTGGGATCAAGTCCCACATGGGGTTCCCTGATCAGTGGGGAGTCTGCTCCTCCCTCTCCCTCTGCCCTTCCCCTGGCTTGTGCTCTCTCTCACTCACTCTCTCTCTCTCAAATAAATAAATAAAATCTTAAAAAAAAAAAAAAGAAGAAGAAAAATCTTAAGCCTTCTTAACAAGTCCCTAAGTTTCCAAGAATAGAAGAGACCTTTGGATAATTGGACCTTACTCTGAGCTGGGCCATGCAATGGTACCTCTGCACTGGGGATGACTTGAATGTACTCTTGAGTAAAACACAAGAACTGGTTGGGAGATTTCAATGTATACTGGGATTCAAGTGCCTGCCAATGCAGCTTTGTAATGAGGTCTTAGCTTTCCCTGTATCTCCCATTCCCTGACTGGCCTCATTGGATGATCTTGCCCATGGTCAGTTGCTCTCTACCCACATCATTACTCATGCCTCCCTCACCCTTCTCAAATTGAATTCTTGCACCTAATTTGAATTTTATAGGCAAACTATTGCTCCTTTTTTCTATTCACATCCCACTTCTCCCTTTTTATCTTTATAAACCAACATATTATTTTTAAAGGTATAAGTCCAATACCCCCCCACACACACACACGACCGTCTTTATCAGAAAACCTGAAAGAATTTTTTTTCTTTCCCTTTGGCTGTTTTTAGTGTTAAGTGGAAATTTTATATTGCTGTCAAAGAAATAGGATTAGGAAGCAGCCCCAGTGAAAGAGTGAAAATCCTTAATAGATCTGTGTTAAAAAGAAAAAGATAGAAAAGGAAAAGGTGCATGAATACATAGGCATGACTAAGCTAGGTTGCCCTCCTGAATAACAGTAATACCAGAAGGGAGTGTGTGCTGTAAAATGGGGCCTGCTTTTATGCCATTCATGGATCAACGGGATATACTTTGTCCTCTGTTCTATTTGGCCTAAAAACGTGCTGTTTATTCAAGCAAAGGAAAAATAGAATGAAACCTACAGAGAAAGATAGCCTCAGAAAATAAAGGCCTACTAAAATGATAGGATTCGGGAAACACATGCAAACCCCTAAACTTCACTGATAGTCAAGTCTGGAAACAACACCCTTGTGAAAACTGGAAAGAAAGTTTGATGACTTGAGCCACTAAAGGGGAGTAAGTTAGATCTTGGTATACACATCCTCAAAGTGGTGAACCTTGTATAGAGATATCCAGTGGGAATGTTTTCTGTTATCTCTCTGATTATTACCTGGTGATGTTACCATGGCCACAAATGACCTGCTAGCTTCTTCCTCCCCAGTCTTCCTCTCATCACGATCTCCAACTACATACAACAGAGCCCTGCCTTTATCAAGGTCTAAGACACGTCTGTCCCATTTTTGTCAGCTCATTTGCATCAACTGCTGCTGGGTTGAGATTTAGTGTTGTATCTGCTTAGTCAGTGATTTAAGGACTGTTTGCTGATTACTTAGTACGTACCAGATAATGAGCTAAGTGCTATGGTGAGTAACATAAATAAACACTTCTAAAATAATAATAAAGGAAAAAGAATAGAACTTAGAGACATTATACAAATTGAACGACATTGATCACAACCAGAAGCAGAGGTAAATGTCCTTTCAGAGTATGCAGATCAAAAAGTCCGAGGGGGTTTCCTTGCCATTGACTAAGAGCACAGAGCTAAAGAAAGAATAGGAGTGATCCAGATTGTGAAGGGAAAGGAGATGTGCCCATGGTGGGACTTTAGTGTGAGAAGGTGGCATTTTGCCAGAAAAGAATAATACGCACAATACCTCATGGCTGAAGGAAGCATGGACATTGAAATAAAGCCAGTGTGGTCGAAGGCCAGGGAGCAATCAAGGAAGTGACTATGTAAGAATTTGAGGCGAGGAAGATGTGTAGCAGGAAGGCAACTCAGAATTGTGTGGAACATGTTAAGGATTTCCCCTGAGCCGGATGGGAAGCCTCTGAAATGTCAGGTAGGGTATTAGGATATATGAAGAACCTGCGCAGATGGGGTCACCATGAGCCAGAGTGATGGGACAATTGGGATGGTGTGCAACCCTCAAGAAGTTTGCAAAGTGGGTTAGAGATTAAACGAAGGTCCAGAAAAATGACAACTTTAAATAAGAAGACCTGAGTTAATCCTACCCTTCCACTTGCTAGCACTTTTTCTTTTTTAAATTTTAGAGACAGAGACAGAGACAGAGTGTGAGCGGGGGCAAGGAGCAGAGAGAGAGGAGGGGGAGGGACAAACAGACTCTGTGCTGCGTGTGAAGCCTAACTCGGGGCTCCATCTCAGGACCCTGAGATAACAACCTGAGCTGAAGTCAAGAGTCGGACAATTAACCAACTGAGCCACCCAGGTGCCCCTTAGCACTTTGACCTTGGGAGAATTCATGCACTTCTCTTAGTTTCAACTTACTCACTTACTCTTAATGAAGTTGTGAGTCACAAATGAGGTCGTCTATCTGATAGCAGTTTACGGACTCCAGTGTTGTAAACGTGTAAGGAACAATGACTGCTGTAAACATCAGAAAAATAGTTGTTATGGCAGTAATATTAAAAACATATATTAGACAGTTTTTGCTGTGATAACACATCCCCCCCCCACACACACACACACACATCTCAGAGCTAACAATGACAAGCAGCTCTTTCTCACTCACCTTACAGGTGAAGTATTGGCCGGCTGTGGCTCTGTTGCAGAGGGTGGATCGATGGGGTCTGCCTCATTTGTCTTCTCAATCCAGAAGCCAGATTGAAGGAGCAGAGCCTTACTTGTACATGCTTTTCTCACGGTAAGGACCAAAGTGAAAGAACTTCTCAGAGTTGGCATCTTAAACAAGTCACGTGGCCAAGCCTCAAATCAATGGGACAAAAATGCATTATCGTCTTGGGGGTAAGAAGTAAATGAATAAGCAGGAGCAACAGAACAATCTGCCATAAATATTTGTGTGTATGTGTGTTCAAAACTTTCTAAATCCAAGGAGAAAAAAGAGTAGACGTTGTATATTGCAACCATTCTGGTAAGGGCAGATAGTGATGTGGCAAAGACAGATCATCTATGTTAGCTTTTGTGGGACTTACCACAAAAACTTTTTTAAAGTAAAATATATTTTAACTATTGCATGCATTCCTAAACTGTTTTGTAAACTAAATAATAGGGGAGATTATTTAAATAAATAATTTTATGCCCTATTATAAAGCAAATAAACTTTGAAAATGAAAATAACCATCCCTTATTTATCATTTTAGTAAGTTGAATACAAATCCAAAAGATACATACAGTGTGCTTTGAAAAAAATGTAAGCAAAACCAGGTAGAATGTCATCAGGCCTGCCAACTGCTAGGAAACTTGGTGCCATCAGGGCCACTAGTGTGGCTGCACCAGCTATTCACTGAGCAAGGGTACCAATCAAGGGGAAAGTAGGAGACAAAATCAGATCCACCCTTTGCTCACCAAGCCATCTTCCCTGGTGCAAGGCCATGTCTAGTCAGAGAAAAGGGCAACATTTTTCACCTTGCACAAATGTGTCATTTAGCCCTAGATGAGGTTTCATAGAGTAATCATCACAATCCTGGGTCTAGCTCATCGTGTCATGTGTAGTGATCATGCCACCGTCAAAAGTTATCTGAACTACAGATTAAACCCCAGACCAATATAATTCAAGAAACTCTATACTCTACTCTCCTTACTGTCGTAACATACGGTAAAAAAAATAAAACTACAAAAAGACTATAGACTCATGTCTTTGCAGTTTTTCTTTTTTAATTAACAAGTGCATCGAAGTCAAATTATAATCTGAAAGATAATAAAGTTAGTTATATGATGTTAATGTTAGTGGGAACAAGTATCTCTTTCCATAAGTATGGTATTCCCTGAGTGGAAGCATCCCCCTCACGCTCACACTCTTTCTGGTCAATACTGCCAACTTACAACTCCCCTGTGTCCACCAATCCCGCATGATGGACATATCCTCCCTCCAGATAAATTAACATCTCAGCATCTTTCCCTAAGTCATAGAGCAACTAAATGTTTAACTAGCAAACAAGAATCACTGCATTTTGAAGTTCTTGATACAATCCATCACAGATGGAGGGTTTCTTCCCTGGGTCAACTGGGATGATTTTTAGTATCTGAGATTTACTGTAGGCTTTTACTTTTCACATTTATAAGATTTCCTGCATATATGAATTCTCTGGTATCTGTGGATACCTAATGTCTAGGAATTTTATACATTGAATATTTACAGCTGTTGTACGCATGGGGTATTTCTAATGACATCCTGTGCTTTACAATTACAAAGTCTCCAGGACCCAGAGGTTTCTGTTTCTTAGTATTTCTCACATAGCTATTTCAAAGGAAATTGCTCAGACACCAGAGCTTCTTTGTACCTTTGTTTCCCTTGGAAAATTCTGTGTACATATTATTCTTCCCTCAAGAGTGAGATTCATTTGAGATTTTTTTAAGGGATCTGACTCCTTGTTAATGCCATGATGGACTTTTTCCTTAGAGAACTGTCTGAATGCCTACCACTCCTAGGGACCGTGTACTGGTAAATTTTGTTATTTTAAGTCTTAGACCCTTCCCCTCAAAGTCATACAGGATCTTCTACATCTAGAAGTGTACAAGGTGTTTTCCTATCCCTGATGGTATTTCAAGTTCTGATGGTCTAGATCTCTGGGATGGTCTTCATACATGGTCCCAGACACCTGAGACACATGAACATTCTTCATCTTCCAGAGATGAGATTACCTTCTTATAGTCTCTCCCATAACAGTTTTGTAGTGCTTCTTATTAGAAGTATTTCACTTTCTCTGCTCTTCTCCATTCCCCGACAATGTGGTGTGCTAAACTTTGAGAATTCATATACCGTTAAGATAGAGACTATCCTAAAATAAGAGAAAATCTAAAAGACAGAATGATTGAAGAAAAAGAAATCCTTTTGGATTACTCTTCCACAACTATGGGATCTGATACAGTAGCCACTTTTAGGATTCCTTCTATGTCTTTTTGCAGAAGATTTAATTCCTTAACAGAATCTGTTTAATACATGGATATGCTGTAGTCCTGATAATTAACATCTTCCTCTCTCTTCCTTGGGAAGATACCACTTAAGATATCATTAAGATATTATGAATTAGTGACACATCTATATAATGGGCCTCTTTGGAATAAATTTTCCTTCATAGATGAACAATTCAAAGAGGTAATAAGCTACTCTATTCACTAAAGTTAGATATACATATATATGACACCTATTAAGCTTTAAAATAAGCAATATATATATATATTTAAAATATTGTATTTATTTGCCAGAGAGACTGAGCGCACGGGGAACAGCAGGCAGAGGGAGAAGCAGGTTCCCTGCTCAGCAAGGAGCCCGATGCGGGGCTCGATCCCAGGACCCTGGGATCATGACCAGAGCCGAAGGCAGTCGCTTAACCAACTGAGCCACCCAGGCATACCCGCAATAACTATATTTTTAAAGCAAAAGAGAACAAGAGAAAGAAGAAAGC